TTAATTTTCCCTTTGGGGCCCCGCCCTGGCCCCAGGGGTCGGGGTAGGAATCTCAATTTTACAATTTGAAACCATCTACCTCCAAGGATAATTCTCACCAAGTAAAAATAATTTCCTACAGAAAGTTGTCAAAATATACCCAAAAGTGTTATTTCCCTATATAAACTATAGTAAACTTTACCCCCTCCCCAAGGGAGAACGGATAGCTCGGGGGTCCTGAAATTTACAATTTAAGTAAAGCCCCTGATGATCTTTCTTTCCACGTAGAGAAAATCACTGTAGTACCTGTGAGTCTGGAGAAGAAGATTTTTGAAATATTGGATAATTTTCCCTTTGGGGCCCCGCCCTGGCCCCAGGGGTGGGGGTAGGAATCCCAATTTTACAATTTTGAAGCCTCATCTACCAAGGATGATTCTGACCAAGTTTGAAAAAAATCCATCCACTGGTTCTTGAGAAGAAGTTGAAAATGTAAAAGTTTACGCACGACGGACGACGGACGACGACGGACGAAAAGCGATTGGAATAGGTCACTTGAGCAAAGCTCAGGTGACCTAATAAAAAAGGTCTTGCATTTACTATACAATGCCCTTATTTGGCAATAAGATGGGCATAACTCCACCAAAAATGCACATAAACTTCTGAAATTCGAACTTGTCCGAGCTATATTGGTATGCAATATGTGTACCAAGTGATCCCACGGAAACCTTGTTTCGGAGGATGCCGCTGTCGCCGAGGCAGAAAAAGTAATACCTATATGTTGCCTCGCGTTGCATCTCTAACACTAGACTGAAATTCCTCTAAGAATTCTTCAAACATTTTATCCTTACTTGATAATGGCATCCAGAATGGCCGTGACACAGTCCAGGGACATCATGCTCCGTGGGGCTTTACCTACAGGGCCTTTACCTTTCTTTCCAGCCGCAGCATTGGCCTTCTCCTTCAGTACAGATCCTAACTTGTGATAATTCTCATACAACTCTAGTACCTCCCCGATACTGTTCATACTGAAATAAAATGTTCAACTTATATATAATTACCATTAAACATTATTGCACAGGTATAACAAGGTAAGTATGACAGCATGATAGTAAGTTAATTTGGAAAAGACTGATGTCCTTCCAAGCAGAGCTATGCTAGATGTCGTTATTAATTATCAGACTCCAGGGCTGCAAAATTTGCCTAACATAAAGAATTTCCTACCTTTTTTTTTTCCATAGGAAAGTATTACTGATGTTAAGGAACATTTGCTTCTCTGAAAGCTTTTGAATAATCATGAAGCTAGGCTCACTGCAGATATGGGATCTTCAGAGGTTGGCAGGTATAGATAGCTATGACTGATGATGTGGTTATATGTAAATTATATAAGGTCGTTATTACCTAAACTGTCCAGCCAGAAATGTGTATTCCATGAGCACCTCATACGTGCCCAGCACAAGGATGGCAAAGATGTTGTTCTTCACACCAACACTATTTCCTAGGGAGAAGTCAGCAGCTTTGTCCTAAAGGCACACAAACAGGAACTTATAATATGAACAAATGAAATGAAATCCCTAAGATAACAAGAGGCCAATGGGCCTTAACGGTCACCTGAGTCCTACAGTATTAATTTTTGTTGTTGAAATATGAAGTGGAGATAATGATGTCAATCATCCCTACCAAAATTTGAGTAAATAAAAGTTAAGCATAACTTTAAGTTAAGTTTGCCAGGACCAATATAAATATAAGTACACAGCATACTTATTCCTGAAATCCGAGTCCGGATCTGTCCGCTTATTAGACACGCCATTGCAACCTCCTCTTTGATAAACAGAGACGTTTTTCTACTAGTACATACAATTATTCAATAAGTAAGTATATCCTTCATCTATCTCTTGTACTTTTTTTAGCTTAAGTTTCAGTTATTTTCACCAGACTTAAATTCTAAACAAGAGGCCAACAGGGCCTGTATCGCTCACCTTAATATGTTAAAAATAATTGGTATGAAGTAAAGATATAGCACTCCATGGTAGGTGCTGTAAGTTTATATATGAAATTTTAGAAAGATCCATCCAGTACTTGAGATATAACGAGAACAAACTTCAAACAGAGCCAAACCCTTATGCCCCTAGGAGGGGGGGG